GTGGACAAGTTGAATGAGGGCAGTGTGATAATAACATAGGGAGACTGAGAGCTAAAATGAATAAAGCTGAGAATGAAGTTGGAACAAGAGGCAAGTGAGTTGGTGATTGAGCCTAGCCAGTGAGGATTTGAACCCTAAACAGTTGATTTTTTTTTTTTGCTGAAGCTCCTTTCTGGGGTAGAAGAAACAGAACTTGATTTGATGCTGGGTAATTAGTTGAGGCACAAGTAAGCTTTAAGATGAAGAGGGCAAACTTTCTTCTGATTAACCCATTTAGCCAAAAAGCCAACCATTAATTTTTGGCCTTTGATTAACCCACTTTGAGCCTGTAGCTGGATTTTTTTTACTCCCTCAAATTCTTTCCCCATCCAATGACCACGTTCCCACTTAGTTATGATGGAATAAATTTTTTTTGAAGTTGCAATCCATTGAAAAGTGAATTCAATTCCATGGTTGAGAGTAAAGAAAAGAGAAAAGGATGTGATTGTACACCATAAAAAAAAATTGTAAAAGAAAAAAAAAAAGAAGAGAAAAAGAGTACAAGAGAATAAAGTTTTTGGCAACCATGGAAATGTCTAGTTAAGTTGTCTGATTGCATCCCTTGTCCATCATAGCTGAGTTAGCCATTCATCCATATATTTCTAACCTTGATCCAAGCCAAAATATAACCCATAAAGCCCCTCTGATTGAAGTCTCATTTGTGTGTCATCCAAAGGCCAAAGCAGCTTGTCAAGCCTATGTTGAGGTTATTCCCAGTAAAGGTGTGAGATAAAACAGCTCCCTGCACTATTGAGTGTTGAAAATATGTGAGTAGAGAGTGTTAGTCATTCTCATTTGCCTTTTGTAAAGATGTATTTCTCTGTATTATGACATGAGGAGTCACGGTCCTCCTTGTTATTGTCCATTTGCCACTGATTATATTTGAACATTAAAGTCACACTGATCATTGAAATTGTTTGTATGCTTTAAACTGTAATCCTTTTTTCTATTGATGCATAAACTTCAGCTGAGTTAATTGCATGTCCGTTAGTGAAAGTTAAGATCTGATGTCTGGTTTGCACTGTTGTGAAGAAGAAGAAAAAAGAAGAGAAGTGAATATTTGTGTTTGGTGATTCAAAGTTGTGTGTTTGACTGAAAATCTAGATCATGAGAATTCTTTTTGGAAGCATGTTTTATGAGAAATGAAAGATTTGCTTGTTGTTAAGGAACTGTTTTGAAGAAAAAAAAATTTGTGGTGTTGCATTGCATTTGTTCCTTGAGGACAAGTAACAACTTAAGTTTGGGGGTGTGATAAGTCCATGAATTGTGACTTAGAGCATGTGATTTGATGATAAAATGGGAATGAAAAGACTATCTTTGTTCATAAAAACCCCAATTATTGCATTGGAATAAGGATTTCTGATTTAGAGGGTTAATGGGCTGAATTTTTGTGTTTCAGGCCCAATTGGTATTATTTTCCTAAGCTAATGAAAGAAGAAAAAAATGGGCCAGTCATTTTTTTATCAGAAGCCCGAAGTGAGAAGAGAAAAAAAGAAAAGAAAGAAAGAAAAGAAAAAGGAGAGTTGGGCCAGAGGCAACTCAATCAGCGGCCCAAAAGAAAAGAAAGAAGAAAAGAATGAGAGAAGAGAACTGAAGAGGCAAGTCAGAAGTGAGAAAAGAAAAAAAAAACCTAGCAGACCCACCATCGGCTAATCCATCTCAAGCCTTCATCATCCAGCACGGTCTCTTCTTGGAATCGAGCAACTAAACCGATTCACCATTTGCTTTTCATCCTAGACAAGAACCCTAGCCTTCCACCACGGTTCAGTTTCTGAACCGGACCAACCCACACAAACCCTAACCAATTCTTGGATCAATTCAGAAAAATCCAAAAGAGTTGATGAGCTGGAGGTCGTTAGTGGAAAGGGTTACTTTTTGAGGTGCGTTGCGGAATCGTGCAAGGAGACACCCACGTTCGAGAGGAGCAAGGAGCATACGTTGGAGGGGATGATTTTGGAGCAGATATAAAGGAGGGACGAAGGGATTTTTGGAGGCATCTATCTCTCTTTCCCTACCTCTCTTCTGTTCTGGGATAATTTTTATTTTTGCTCTTTAGGTTATTTTTCATGCTACTGTTTTCTGATTTTATTTTAGTAATCTGTTTGTAAATTTTATGAGCACTTTGGTCAGGACGATCGGCTGTTGATAGTTCCTGAGTTTTTATTTCCAGTACATTTTAAAGTTCCGATTGTCATTATGAACACTTGCTGTATTTTAGCTCCTCAACCTGTGGTGATGAGCTAATTTTTCTGAGAGTTGGGTTGGATAAAGTACTCGGAACTCACTGTTATTGGGTGATGTTTTAATGTTTACATGGTTGTTTTCAGTTTGTTTATTGTGCATGTTTATTACTGAGTTTGACTATGTGATGATCACACATAGTCAGCTCTTAGTGGTGTGGGGTTATTGAGAAATAACTCACATTAGACCCCACTGTGAGCACATGGAAAGTTGAGAGAAAAATTTCTCTCAATGGGTATGGCTTCAGGGATGAAGTTACCCCCATGTAACTTGTGAAAATTGTTCTTTAAGATCCTATGACAACAGTGACATAGGGATATGCCAACTGTTGTCAGTGGAAGAAAATTGTTGTTGGGAAACAACAATTACCTTAATATTTTCGTTAAGCTGAAAGAATTTTTTTTGTTTTATATTAAAGCATCCTAATGACGTTTGAGTGAAAGGGAAATTGAAAACCCAACTCATTTCCAAATACTGATTTTAAAACCAATATTTGTCACTTGTTGTTTTTGTTTAACTTCAAATTATTTCTTTTATCTTAAAAGAAAATCATAAAAAATTTATTACAAGTCTTTTAGTTTGGTCATCTTTCTAGGAAATAGTTAAAAAGATCCTTTCATCAACTGAGTTCACTGTTTTAAAAAGAGAAAATCTCCACAAAAATATTTTCAGTACACTAGTTTAGAATAGTAGCAGCATTTAATTTTATTTGTTTTTATTTTTAGTTCTTTTAGCAATTACCATTTATTTCAAGTTAAAACGCAAAGATTCTTGTGAGAACGATAACTGGGACTCATAAAAAGCCCTATATTACTTGTTGTCGCGTATACTTGTGCGAATACTTGCACAACTGTTAGCAAGGCAACACTATGCCTAGCTAGCATGTATATTTTGTTTTTATGCTAAATAATGTTAGTTCACCAAGAATTCTTGTTAATTTGATTATTTGTTTCTATGTATCTGTCAAAATTAAGACAAAACATTACAAAATTTTAAGCAATGATGTCAGGAAAATTTTCTGGTCTTTCTTTCAAATGGATAAATGCGAAAAGTCATAGCATGAGACGTAGGTGCTGCTAAACTATGGTAGTAATTGCCATGCACCATTGTCTTTGCTGAAGTTTTTTTCTTTTCAATGTTACTTTGAGGTAGATCGATGAAAGAAGTTATTGTTGACATGCAAAACACAGACCAGAGGAATAGGAGGCAGCAGAATATGATCATGTCATTGGACAAGAATGCATGAACCTAACCCCATCTTTTATTTAGTATGTCTTAATTTGCCGACTTCCAATGAAACAAAAAAAAGTTGGGGATGACAGGGAAACAATAATTTAACCACTTAATTACCATGAGAGGAACACACGCAACACCCAAACAGTAACAATTGTTGGGCGTGGTGTTAACGGGGAAAGTGGAAGTGAGTGGAAATGGACATGAGCTACTCAATTATCACGAGTATCTACTTTAATTCAAAATCTTAAAATATTGGATGAAGTTAAATTAATTATTTTATGTCTCTTTAACATATTCTTCATGTAAGAGTCACTTGAACTTGAAGCGTGAATATGACACAAGCCTATTATTGATATGCACAAGCTCATTTTTTTTTTTTTTTATATTTTTCTTAATTTCACTTACAAGTGGAGCGATAAAAATCGAACTCATTAATTATTTTATATTCTCTCTAACAGCTACAATTACCGTGGACATTGGAAAAGCAACACCCCAACATAGGGGCCTCGGGTGTTGTTTAGCCGGGGAAATTTGTGACACTAGTAAGTTGCAAGGAACCTGAATATGATTCTCTTCGTTGTAGTGCTGTTTGGATCAATTAATGGAATTGCCGACAGAAAAACTACCATGTCAAATACGAGAATATTTTATACCAAGAAAAATCCTCGAATATTTGCCATATAATAGTATACCGAATGACCTCATTCATGGCATATGTTAGATCATCGATCAATATTCAATTCCAATTAATGTTCTGTAACCTTTTTTTTCCTCCTTACAACTTGCAAATAAAGTTGGAAGATATACATAGCCATTAACCAGGAGACCGGGAAAGATAAGCTAAACGATATGTGATCAATACGAGAGTGTACTCAGGGCAATATTTGGGCTAGCTAGGTTGACCCATAAGTCTGGTAAAACATATTAAATTAATGAATGTTTTGATTGTATACGTTAGAGAATTATAAGCTTTTATATGAAATCATCTTTAACTAGTTTTTAATTTTTATTAGTTAATAAGTTCAGATAATAAAATGGTTTGTTTTTGACAGCGAAGGCAGATAAGTTATTCGCATTGAACTCAAAATAATGTTTTTTTTGGACGAAAATTAAGATATTTTTGTAATTTTAATTTATTTAAGAGATATAATAGTCTTTATCATTATAATTTTTTAATCTTTCAATTTCAAAATGACATCGTTTTGGGAGTGTAGGCAGATAGATAACTTATGTAGTTATAGAAACATTTTTCTCATAATAAAATTAGGGAATAATTACAATATTTCTTTTTTAAATTTTAATGGGTTGCGTCAATGATTAACCTTAGTTCATATAAAAAAAAGTAGATTAGCATGTTTGGTTTTCTTTTACAGATGGAATCTCTGCTTTAGCATATATCATTAGATAAGTAGCTCAACATGAGAGAAAAAATAAAAAATAAAAGCGAAAGTACTGGAAGGACAAAAACAGAGACAAAAGCATAATTGCATTATTTGATTCACATTATATTTCCACAAACATGGAATAAAAAAAGTTAAAAGGGAAACAAGAAAGGTGCTTATGAAAATGAAGCTAGTGAGGCAGGTATTGGGAAAGATTTTCACATTGCCCAAAATCTTTCTTGACCTCTATCTAGCAACTAGGAAAATTTATAATGCTAGACCAAAAGGCCCTTCATGTTCTTGTTGCTGGTGGAACACTTTTCCCTGCCCCTTTCTTCAACATCTCAGCAGGAACATTGATCTCAATGCCATCAAAAATGTCTGAAACTGTTTTTGTACCTTCCTTAATTGGCAATTCTTGGACTTCACCCTTTCTTACATCTGTTGTGTTTGGAGAGTCTTTACTTTTGCCCCATACCACAGTGTAAAGCCCTGAGACAATGAGAATAGCTCCAAATATACTGGAAAGGAAAACACACAGAAACTTAGCACATAATTTTGATTGATGCATATTTTTTAGGACAAGGGATGCTTAATACATACCTTCCTAGATGAACTTGCTCAGCTAAGACAAGGGAACCCAATGCAGCTGTGATAATCATACATAGAGGACTAAAAGAAGTCACAAACACTGGTCCACGTTCCCTAGTCACAACCCCTTGTACATAATAAGCCATTCCAGAGCATATCACCCCCTGATTATTACAATTTTTGAATGCAAATTAGTTAGTTGAATCATTAATTAGAAACCACCATTCATCAATAATGGTTTTACATTTTTTCTTCTTGTGTTTCAAGGATTGAAAGGCAAATAAATCAACAAAAAATAAAATAAAATGTAGGTACATCAATCAGTGCTATGGAAATGTACTCACAGAATAAACGCAAGCAAGAAGCCTTGAGTCCCAGCCTATGGCCCACACACTGAAGTCCCGTTCAAATATAAGTGATGCAATTGAACCCTCAACAATACCCAACAAGCAAATCCATGCTGTGAGTGAAAGCTCTGCTGGGTACATCTTCAAAGTGAATGACTAATTCCACAAAATAGTAACACAAGTCACATTATTAGTTAATGAAAACTTTGAATGACCATTTTTTTTTTTCGGGTCTTTACTAGCAAAGGATGTGTATATCAATGTGCATGGTTAGTTGGCTAAACTTACTTGCAAAATGAAGAAACCAGCCCAACCACCACAACTTGCTATGAGCATTAGTGTGCCCACCACCCAATGCTGGTCGGAGGGCTCGGTGGCGGCGGTCCCATGGTGGTTGATGGCTCCTCCTCCCTTTATGATCTGAAAGGCAGGGCCTTTGTACAAAGTCATAACCATAGCTCCTGAAACTGTTATAACCGTTCCAATGACCTTGGCTAAGCTGTGAAATTTTCTCAAGTTCACTGTCTCTAACCTGGTTAGTAGAATAATCACCATGCCATCAGATTAATTCACTAGAGTCATGAAAAATAAATCTTACCATTAAATAAAAGTTAAAATTAGAGGAATCTGATTAGATATGCATGTATGTCTTGAATAATAATAATAATAATGTTGCTTAATTAACCCAACTTGCATAAGGAATAGCGTTGGACTACATTGAATCAAGCTTTGATTTTAGAAATGATTATTCCAAAGAATGTGTATATGACACAAAATGGATTGTGACAACTTTTGTCAAACGCCGGCCCCATTCCATGTAGTGTTACTTCCAAATTGTTGGATTCTATTGGAATGCAACTAGCCTTTTTCTTTTGCGTAAGCACACAAGCTGCTATTAATATTATGATGAAGTGATTGAAGCTTTTACCTGAAAATGAGTGCCATTACAAAAGTAATAGCTGGGAGGACATTTATGGTTGCAGATGCAAACGTTGTTGAGGTCATCTTCATCCCCATGTTGTACAAGTTCTGATCTAGCACTGGCCTGTTGGATTTCATCACCAACCAATTTATTAATTATTTGACATCAAACTCTACATATTGTTCTTATAGCCATAGAAAATAAAACCTAAAGAAAATTTTAATATGTAACTTTTTGCAATTCAGGATAAAATCAAACTCTACATATTGTTCCTATAGCCACAAAAAGAGAAAAAAAAAACCTATAGAAAAATTTAATCTGAATTTTTTTTTTTTTTTACAATTTATAGGATAAAATCAAATTATAACCAAAATGAATAAAAAAAATCTAATTATAAGTAGCTTTTTCCTTATTCACGTGATTGTAATAAACTTGACATTACGTCGTAATTCAAAATCTTAAATCAACAGTAAATCTATGAATTTTACTTATATAATTTTCACTTACCTCATTTTTATCAAATTGTAAACTTCAACTTTTATAGTTTAATTTTCAACATTGACCTCTATACATGCCAAGTTGGTGGGTGTGCGTCACACACTAGGTTGTGAAACGAATATTAAATACTTAATTTCTAAGTGTGATGTGTTTTGTCCATGCACTTTCAAGTTTTGTTTAAAGGATTAATATTTTTTATGTTATATGAGATAATTTTATTTCTTACACACATATAAAAATGTGTGAGACCAAACCATTAAGATTAGTTTAGTGGCAAAGCATTTGTATAGTTTGTATTAAATTATGTGTTCAATTTTTATATTGTATAAAAAAGAGTGTGTGAGACCCATATAAGACTATATGAAAAAAAGGAGAAAAAAAAGAAATATTAATCTCATATTTTTATGTATATATAGAAATTAAAATTATATCGTACGATAAACATTTTTTTCTTTATTTAATAAGGTCATCCTAGAGACGTCAATTTGGCTTTTGTACGGACCACGTTACCAGCGCAACATCCTTTGCCTTGCTAGCTTTTCGCTAGCGTTAATGAAATTATGATTAGAAACATTGCGTTTTGTTAATGATTTTGTGGTGGGTCACTTTCTTTTTTATGACGTCTCCACTAGAAAAGGTGGTGCAATATATGACGCGTCATTATTAAGTATTAGGGATGTTCTGTTTACTATTTTTTTGTTACAAATACACTATGTTCTCCTGGAAGAATATAATGTAATCTAGTGTTCTCCCGAGAGAATATAATATAGTTTGTAAATAAAAAAAATTGTAAATATAATTTTACTAAAGTACTAATATCATTTTTATTTAGTTTGAGGCTATGGATTATGCGGATATATATATATATATATATATATATATATATATATATATATATATATTCCGTTTTCAGTAAGATGCAGAACGGAAGGAATTAGCAGCTGAATAAATAAGGAATAAAAAACGCTGCTGGTTAATTAGACGTATCTCACATAGTGGTGTTTTCCCAATTAATGTTGGAAATTTAATAAAAACATTTATTTGATTATTTTTATTTATGTATTAGTATATAACGTATGTGTAAGTTTTAAGTATTTATTTATATATGTATTTAATTAATGAATATATTTCATATTTGGAATTAAATTCATTATAAGTTTTATTAAAATATATCATGTACTAAAAATAATTTTATGTTTCTGCTTATCATGTAAGTTAAGAAAAAGTGCAATAATAAGCCATTAGAATTGATCTAGTGGTGAGAGATTTTGTAGGTTTATTAGATTATGTGTTCAATGTTCACCGTTGTATCCAAAAAAAGAAAAAGAAAAAGTGCAATAATAAAATAATAGTAAATAAAGAATATTCAAATAAATCTAAAAGATCGCATTCAAACTGAATTATATTTAAGTATTGAGTGTTTTCGTTCACTTGATCTAGTTCACCACACCAAGAAATAATATTGATTTTATGCTACTTCAAAGAAAAGGTTATATTATAGGCATAGCTACTCATGCATGCATGCATGTGGACTTAAAATATTATCACGCAAGGTCCAATCCATGAAGATACTGAGAAGAAAAAAGACAAAATGTATGATTCGATCCAACAAATATGACATGTAGAAAAAGTTTGAAGATCCTTACTCAAGGAAAGCAAGCGCCACTATCCTCAGGAAGATGGGGAGAGTCATCTTTGGCCTTGTTTTTCTGTAAAGATAGAGAATCAAAACATAACCTTATTGTTAAGCTGATGGATGAAAAGAAGAAGGAAATTGGGATAAGAGACACACACACACATGTACACACTGAAAGAGTAGGGAAGAGAAAAAAAGTGAAATATATATATATATGTATACCTTTCAAGAACAAGCGCAAAAGGGGTTATTAAAAGAGCCGCAACTACATGACGATACACTGAGAGGATCCAATGGCTCATGCCATGCTTGAAAGAAACCATAGTGATAACATACATACCAGAGTAGCCAAATTGAAGGGACACCATAGCAAGGTAAGGTTTCAACTTGCGAAGCCCCTTGCTTAACTTACCACTAACATTTTGGTCCTCCATCTCTTAATTAGTTCTATGAGCACCGGGTGACACACAGAAAGCACACACAAACTCTGTCTAATGAGCTATGGTTTGTGACTTGTGAGTTTGTGGGTGACCCTCAAAACGCGAAATGACCTTCTTATAGACCCAAAAAGCAAAAATTAATTAAAAAGAAGCCCGGGTTTCACACAACACCTACACTTGTCTGTCTTAGGCACTAACTCTCTCACTTCAATTTTCACCCCACCAAAGATTCCTTATCCATATTTTACAAAACAAACCCATATTCCGAGCAATTACTACAATCCTCTTCTATGTTTATAATAGAAGCAAGAGAAAAGGTAAGGCACAAATTATGTGTATCTCTATAGGAAAAAAAACTTTTTATTGTCCTCTTATTATAATTTTTCTTTCTTTTTCTTCTAGGTTGTTTAATTTTTGGAAAGTGGGAGGTGTTTGATTTCATTGACCACCAAATGGAATTTGGGTTTAGTGCTTGGTCATGACGCAAGCAAATATGTTCATATGTGGTGTTAAGTAAGAGTGGGTGCTGTATATGTGGACACCATTTAGAAAGATGGATTGGTGAAAAATCATTCGTTAATTAGAGGCTCTTACCGATGTTAACTAATAAGACATTGTTTAGTATTTGTTAAAATTTGAATAATAACTATTATTTTTTTTGAAACATATATACCTTAATTATCTCTTTGAGATGAGTATGCTCCTCCTAGTATTTTGATAAATTTTTACTCTTTGAACCAGCAATAAAACTAATTCGGAGTGCGGGACAAGTCAGAAATAAAGATTTTAAGCCCCTCCCATAAGTGGCATGCGGGGATCGAACCAAATCTCATTCTTTTTTCATTACTCAGCTCTCATGCACCAACTGAGCTACCACCGTTTGGATATACATACTAATATATGTCTCAATCTATATATATATATGTCATATATTCCGGAATCAAATTATATTTGAATTGAGCATACCGAATCTCATACTCAAAATCTTGTTGGATCAGTGGGATTAAGATATAGTAAAGGTATAAATACAAAAAACATTATCCACTACGTGTTAAATAACTCAACAAAAACTCTATTTCAATCAATCGTGCTATACCACACCAAAAATAAGCCTAGTTGCTACAAATTTAAATCTGTTATCTCCTTTTGCTTTAATTTAATTGAATAATAATGATTCAACTAAAAAATTTCTTTCTTTCAAATGATAATACTTTCCCTTTTTTTTTGAAAATATTCCAATCGGTTCATTGCTTCGCAACTAATTCGATTCGGGGCGGATCCAGGATTAAAGCTTTAAATCCCTCCCAAAGATGGTACTGGAGAGATTCGAACACATGCTTTCACCCACTGCTTATAATACTCCCCCTTTTAATTATTATTGTTTTTTTTTTTTGTTGAGTTGCCATTATTCAATTAGATAGACGACAGAGAAGTAAAAATAAAGAGTTCAACAGTTTTGATTCCATATATATTTGTAACTGTATATTTTGACTTTGGTGGTTGCTATATTCCTTACAACCACAATTAGTGACAATACAATCGGGGCTTGCTAGTCATGTTTCGGTTGATAATTTGATATAGCAATGCCCAACTCACAATATCTAATACTAAGGGAATGCTATATTTTTGGTTAATATTATTTTGAAGATATCGTGTTTCTTAAGTGAAGGTTGGTATAACAAGAGTCATGCATTAATCATGAATTCCAATAAAACAGCTTGATTGTGTGACGCTGCTAAATTTCAAGAGAGTGTCGTGGGCAGTAATTTTTTAGTTTCCTCTCAGTAAGTGTGGCAGGGTTTAAATTCATGTTTCAACGTCAAAGAGTCATAGTCATTTAATTTAAAGAATGAAAAAGGCATATTGAGGTTTATTTATTTGAAGGTTTCTTTTCTAGCAAATTGCTGGCCTCTTAATTTGGATTCCAATTATATCATAAATTACATGTGAATCGTGGTATTGACTCTCACTAAGGAAAAATTATTCACAGAAATCCGGCGTAAATAATGCCATTTTTTTGGGTACGAAACACGTAACTAACTGTCCTCTTTCGCTCTCTCTAAAATGACATCTTTGAGATTGAGGAAAATTATTTTTGTTTAAACGAAAATCTCTTCTTTTCTTCCTTTTTCTTTTAAGATTTAATAAAAAGAAATTAGCAAAAAAAAAAAGTTGAATTTATAGACTGCATAACATTTAAGTATAGCTTTTACCTTTCTGTCAACACCATATAAGATTTAATTTCCTTTAAAGTTCAGTTACATATGCACTAATTAAAATGAAGTTGCCAGGCATCTAAAAGGAATAGGTGACAGATACTAAAAACAACAACCAACAAAGTTCGACATAGTTGGTAGATGGTTGTGTCTCTTAAGTATGCTGACAAGAGTTCAATCCCTGGCCGTGTATGAAAAAGACTTTGTTGTTAGAGACAAAATCCATTTCAAAGATCTCTACGTAAGATTAGTCTTCAGCTATTAGATACCTTGAGGGAATAAAAAACAACATTTTCGTCTCATTCTGATCAATCAATTGCTTGTATTCATAATGAATTTGATAATAGTTATAGGAAACTTGGTCAGAAAACTAATTTTGGACGTTGATCTCTACGGTTTCAAGAATGGAGAATAACTAACATGCTTCTTGTGTGAGTCAAAATATGGAATTTTGTTGCAACGGATATTTTCATTTGATCGTAAACGAGCTGTCTTGTAAAATAACAGTAATTATGATTGACAATAGTAAAATGTTGATAATATGATGATGCTATAGGTAATTGTTTGACCTCAAATGTGTACTCGTGGATCGATAGGTTACAACAAGCGGAAATCGTGTTTTTCAATTTATTCAATTATTGTATTGATAATCCCGAACGGAACATAAATTGTGGCATACATGGCCCAGGAACTAAAGTTGGTGGTTTCGTGTTTGGATTCCAACAAGCTAACAGGTTCGGGTTGGTGGAATCCCACCATACAAAATATTGGGAAAGCACTATGAAATGGATATAGAACAATTACTAATAGGTGGCCGGTTAATGGAACGTAGCCACATCTCTTTCCGTAAACAGTGACAATGTGACATTACTGTGTATATACACCACCATGTTTGTGAGGTATAAAGCCCATATTTAATCGTATCTCCCAAAACGCATAGTTAGGATGTGCATATTTTAATTTTTTTTACCGTATCTTAAAGAAAAATATCTTTTTATTTTTATGCTTAAAAAGAGGTTTTGAAAAATAAAAATAAAAAACAGGTTTGATAAACTGATTTTATCAAATATCATTTTTAATTATTTATGTTCGCTAGATTAAAAAAGTTTTTTTTTTTTTAAATAATATTATCATAATGATCAGAATATATAGTCTATGTCTATCGTCACCCTCCTCCTTCTTTTTCTTCCTGATCCTAATCTCTTGCGCAAAATCAATTTCCCCTTAATTGCCGAACTGTCATATACTCTTACAATATCTTTAACTAAGTGTGTGAATCTTCCTTTTTCAAATTCTGGTTTAATTCCAAGCGATTTATTCATATTCTTCCACCCAAGAAAGGAATAGAATGCTAGCATGTATCAGTCTGTCTCAAATCAAATCAGTGCTGACAATTATTTATACAATGTCAAGGAACCAGAGAATTTTGCGTCATGTATATGTGTAATGATATATATTCCCTGTAATCATAATCTTTTTAACTGCGGCTTGTCCTCTGTCATAGAAAGCTGAAACCCAAGCGTTCATGTAGGCGATTTGGGACTGTGCTTTATATTTACAACAATGTGTGCACTTAATTATAGTTACTGATGAGTAATGCAATGCATTTCTTTATTTCAAGATTGTCTCATTTCGAATTTATATGTAACTTCCAGTTGAAGTTATGACCAAAACAACTTCCAGAAAGTTATATTTAGCTACTATTTAATTTTATGTTCATAATTCATAAATAAACTCATAAATGATAACTCAACCGGCTGTCTATATATATTTAAGGGGTTGCATTTTCTCATGCAACATGAGATGAGCTTTTCTCTTACACACACAATCAAGTGGACCACTAATTTAAATAAAAAAGAAAAATAAAAGAAAAATAACATGGAAATCGAACTCTCACTAACATGAGAGATGGTTATTCCTACAACATGAGATTTATTTATCCCTATATTTAATCTTTTTAATTTCTGCTTGTCCTCTGTCATAGAAAGCTGATCAAACCCAATCGTTCATGTAGGCCATTTTTGGGACTATGTGCTTTATATTTACTACAACGTGTACACGTAATAAAAGTTACTGACCTAATGCATATTGTCTCATTTCGAATTTACAAGTAACTTCCAGCTGAAGTTATGACCAAAACAACTTCCAGAAAGTTATATTAAATACTATTCAATTTTGTGTTCATAAATACAATCATAAATGACAACTCAACCAGCTGTCTATACAAGTTTTTTTTTTTTTAATTATGTAAAATGCAGTAGCAAGAAAAGAAATGACAAAAAGTGAAGGTAAGAATGAAAGAAAAATAACAAATGATGGTAGTTCAGTTAGCGCATGAGAGTTGAGTAGGTGAGGGTGAAAGCATGTGTTCAATTCTCCCCAATATCATATTTGGGAGGGGTTTAAAGTCTTAATCTTGAACTCTCCCTGAATAAGATTGCTTTCCGTAAATGATACATGTGGTTTATCTAAAAAAATTGAGAAAAATTCAATTTTTAAAATTAGGTATGAATTAGTGGTTATAGTTTTAAGTAATTTAGGAAAGAAGTTTAACTTTAAACATTTATGCTCTATGATACATCAGATAAATATGAAAATATAACGAATTTATTTTCTTATACAATTAGTTGGGCATGATTTCTCCTTTTATATATATATATGGGCTTTCGATCCGTCGTTTAACAGGTTCAAATTAATGTTTTTTTCCTACAAAAGTAACGACAAAATAAATAGTAATAAAAAATTGAAAAAGCACGGTATTCAATGACTTTATTTTGTCTATAGTGATTGCATGACACTAATTTTTTACCTACAACATTATTCTTATTTATCCCTATATATATTTTGAAAAATCGCGGACCACATTTCTAATTTTTCATTATTTA